TATATATATATATATATATGTGTGTGTATATATATATATATATATTCTGTTGAATATACCACATATTGAGAACTGTATTTTATAGCTTAATATTTAACTATAGAAACATGGATCTAAGTAGAGCTTACCTCCATTTCCACTACTGCCTCTACTTGGTCTTATAATACCTCTACCAAACGGTGCCTGTGATTGATGTGCCCCCATTTGCCGTGGTGTTGACCCGGTAATATTTTGTATACCCTGGGGCGAGATAACAATTGTCTGAGTATTGGAGACAACCACATTCGATACCCTGGATTGAGGGGTACTAGATGTGGAAGTTGAGGATGGCCTAGATGTAGTCCCTGGGACAGGGTTAGGTGTTGAGGTCGTGCTAGAAGGTGCTGCACGTGTTGAAGGTGCTGTTTGACCTGTTTGGTTATGGTTTTGGTCTTGTCCAGGTGGCATAGTCTGGTTGGCATTGACATCTCTGGGTTGGTTGGATGGTTGTCTTCCACCGTTGAATGCAAAAATTGCAGGTGGTAATGTAATCTAACAAAAGAAACCATTTGTGTTTAATCAAATTTAATTGTTCTTATATTAAATCAAATCTGCTTATGACTATAGTCGTTGATTACCCGGGGCATGTTTTTTTAGTTCAAAGCTTAGAAGTAACTATGTAATTTTTTCAGAATTGATAATCGTCACTTTCGGTGTCTCTTAACAGTTATTTTGCACACAAATTCTTGAAATTGTAAACAATTCTGAAAACATCGTGTCTACAAAAATTTACACATCACAGGAAAATGGTATTTTTGGCACTCATTTCTAGGTAATTTTTTTTGGAAAAAAGTTTAGGTCATAATAAAGGTCACATTTACTTGCGAGCTTTGAAGTAAGTGTGTCTACGTGGGCATGTATTTTTTACATTCCATGCGTACACAGAAGGACATGTAGCACACTTTAACTCCTGAGACATCTTAGTAGTAAATCGTAGTACCTTTGAAGTAACATAATAAAAAGAGTGTCTTCACTGGCACTACCCAGCGCTTACGACAAGTAACCTGCTACTTCAAAGCTTAATTCAAACTCCTCTGAACGTGCCTTGTGTGATATGAAAGGCTTTTCACAATGAAATATGAAATAATAAAAAAGTATTTAATGGCATACTGTGTACGTAACTTCCAATTAAGTCTAATTAAAACCCGATTCACTCAACAGAAAATGTACTAAATATTAACAGGAATATCTGTTATTTCTATACCGAGATTCGTTGAAAATAAATACAAACCTTGCTAAGGTTGGTACAAGCGATACACTGACACTGACCTTTGTTTTTACTTTTGAGCAATCTGTCGCGTTTCAATGATTTTTAAGTGGTTGTATTACATATGTTTTATCGACAAAATAAATAATATGATATGAAACATAATACAATACCTGTATTGGAACTGGAGGGCCCACTTGCGGAACTCTCAGAACTCTTGGTGGCGCTGTTGTCATATTAGAGCCACAATCAGACAGAGAATGATAAACATGGCTTATAAGGTGCATCACTTGCGACACCAGGTTTTGTAAACGTTGTGCCTCACGCATACGGTTTGTCTAAAGGAAGAAAAGAAACAGAAAATCAATTCGATCATTGTATGATTCATACAATATTGGATAAATATATTTGGTAAACCTTGTTAAGCCTACATTTGCTGCAAAGATTTTTAAATTTTCGATTTGAAAAACCTTGTTGAAGCCTGCCCTGAAGTAGCTGCATTAGGCCTGCATATAGTAGATAGTACAAAATCAGGAGGGTAGGAGATTACTTGAAAAATCGGGAGAAACCCATCAAAACTGGGAACTCTAGCTAAACTATAGACTAAAAAACATAGCTGTAGGTTTCTATATCATGTTAAGAATTGACTGGACACTGTAAAATCGCGAAAATAAAAAGCCGCAAAATATTTCAAACTGCACAATCACAATTTTTATATTAAGCTGTAAAAAAGCAACAAATAAAAATCAACATACAATGCCATCATAGGAATGATCTTCTCGCATCATATTTCTGTAGCTCTCCATGTGGGGTCGAAGGCGTTCATTCAAACGCATCACTTCTTCTAAAATGTCTGCCATGACCGAGATAGGTGGGTGTCTATAAGAAAGGGAAAAAAAAACATTAAAACTGAGAATAAAGTGGTGTAAAAACAGTGCTTGGAGGTTTTGAAAGCCCACTGGAAACATCAAATTTGGGTGTGGCCCTCGGTGTTAAATAAAAAATTGACTTTGGCCCTCCAGGCGATTTTTATGCCCACCTCTGGTATAGATGAACATAAATATGTTTCACAATAAATTCACTTTAGACTTCATATGACAATATAATAAAAATGCCAAAGATTAATATAGTGCCAGTGTGCCGATTCCAAATCAACGATTAAAGGTGCTGAGGGTTACTACCCCTGGTCACTAGATAACATACAACGGCAAATCAACTAAGTGCAACCTTCTCTGCTCCCTGAGGAGTATACCTAGTCATGCGCATGTACTCAGCACACAAAACTAGTACAGTCAATGCAACACATCCTACCAGGCACCCGTTTATACTCCTTGGTAGAGATAAACAAACGTATACAAAGTGCCTTGCCCAAGGACACAAACAACTTGCTCAGTGAGATTTTCAAACCCCTGACCTCAATGTCAGGGGTTGGAAATACTTACATATTTTGTGACTGTCCACTGCTTCTAGTAGAGGTCCCTTCCTGTGAACTTGTTGTACTGGTACTACCTTCACTGTTGCTATTATCTTGTGTTGGGTTGTTACTACTTGCACCAGTGTCCATGGGTTCACTATCAGCAGTTGAAGAAGATGATGCGGATGTTGATCCCTCCTCGGAGCTGGAGGAGTTTGGTTCAGTTTGAGTTTCTGCCTGCTGTGGTGGACTCTAAAAATATGTCATAGCCATTAACTTTGATTTAATTTCATTTAATTATGCACTTTCCGTATTTATAAAAGAACTGTAATACACTGCAAAAACTTTGTCCCTAGTTATTTATATATTGGATTACAAGGTAGGTTTCCAAATAATGCAAAGTACATTTTAGTATTGAAGATCACTGATGTATTTTAAAGTAATGGTCTCATCATAAAGAAACAATTTTGTAAAAGTCATCCAATATGCTGAGTGGTAGAACACCCATAGTCATAATGACGAATATAATGTGATTTTCAATTTATTGGATATTTGATTGGCAACTTAACTAATACAAAGACTGTACATAATTGAAATAGCATTGAATAAAGTTATAATATAATAATGAAATAAATTTATCAAATATTATGCTTTAATTAAATTTGGATTTACAATATATAAAAAATAAATGTGTGAATTATTTTTAAAATTCTAGCAATACTAGGAAACTTAAAAAATGTGAAATCTCAAATTGGTGTTTAGAATGTTTAAAACTAATTAAGTTTATTAAGGAAAATATTTTTTGTTAAATAGACAACATACCTCAAGACGATCTATAACGAGGTTGGCTTGACGGATCATGTTTCGGGCCTGATTGATACGTACTTGCGATGCACTGATCTGATGTAATGGCACTTGACCCAAATTAATGTGAACATCAACAGATGACCCATCAGGCTAGCAGTACAAAAAGTAAATATTATTGTACGACTGAATATCATCATCATACATATATATGCATGTGTATAGATGGAAATATATTATTCTGAAATAAAGTATTGAATGAATGAATGAATGAATGGAAGAATAAATGAATGAATGAATGAATGAATGATTGAATGAATAAATAAATAAATGAATTAATGAAATATAAATCTAAGTGTTTCATGTGTGTTACTACAGTGTGAAGGTGAACAAGGTAGGTAGACTTTAACAAAACAAAGAATATATCAATGTTTTTAAAGTGTATTTCTGAAATGGTTTCATTATTTCATGTCATCTCATTCTGATTATAAAATAAAGTTGAATGTATGTATCTATGTTTACACATAAATATCTAATCATATTATATCTGTCATACATAGATTTATTTTATTCAAAAGTTGTAGCTGCACTTACCGATGTCCTTGATGTGACACGAGCATTACGACCTAACTCCCCCATGTCTGATATCACTTGCTGTACTATACGCTGCAAGGGTAGTAAAATAACATAAAATACATAAATTGAATGTTTTCATCATCTGATTAAACTATCTCAATGTACTTTACCTTTGCCTTTTGATTTTTTTTATCAATTTGTAGATTGACGGAATGTTTCAGTTTTGTATTTGTGTAGTATAAGCAAAGAGGAAAGAGAGCAAATTGTTTTGTTTAGGCTAATTGCCTATTCTCTTTCCTGGCAAATGATATATCCTGAATGCCAAATAAATATTATTATTATTTAAAACTGAACCTTGAAGCATGCAAGTCTCTGGTAGTCTGAATCTCGATCATACATTTTAGAGGGTTTAAAGCCTGCAAGACACTAGCAGTCTGAATCTTGATACAAAGTTTAGAAAGTTTGTGAGGCCTGCACAAGTTTGGCAGTCTTAATATTGATAAAACTACAGAGGGGTTGTGAGCCTGCAGGAATCTGTATCTGAATAAATAATACTGTACAGATTTAGAGGGGTTGTGAAGCCTGCAGGAATCTGTATTTGAATAAATAATACTGTACAGATTTAGAGGGGTTGTGAAGTCTGCAGGAATCTGTATCTGAATAAATAATACTGTACAGATTTAGAGGGGTTGTGAAGCCTGCAGGAATCTGTATTTGAATCTGAATAAGTAATACCATACAGACTTAAAAGGGTTGTGAAGCCAGCAGGAATCTGTATCTGAATAAATAATACTGTACAGATTTAGAGGGGTTGTGAAGCACCTGGTAGTCTGAAACTCACCTGTACCTCACCCTGATCCCGAAGCTCAGCTGGAAGAGATATTGCTCCAACGAAGATGTTGTTGCCATCTGAAGATCCATGCGAGTTGGACGAAGTAGAGCTACTTGACTCTGTGCTGCTACTACTAGATGCTGAGTGTTTGGATGGTGGTGGTCGCTCTACCAAATGGATAACCTTACCATTAACATTATAATCTGATAGTTTCTTGCCATCCTGAAGTACACGTCCTTGGTATATTAATCGCTGAAGATTTGCTGAGATTTTCTATAGAGAAATAATTTTATATACTAGAAATTGCAAGTGAAGTGCTGCGAAGTACAACTGCATATAAATGTTCTTCGAA